TATTTGTATGTTGAAAATAAAGAGCTACAGTGTAGCGAGCAGCATCCTGTTTACGACACATGTGTTCGTTGATTATTTAGCACTTAATTCATATTCGGACGAACGAAGTGAGGGAGAATATATTGGTGAATATTTTGACGTTCAAACGTACGAAGTTTGATATAGAACAATGAAAGTCAATTCGTACAGGTTACTGACATTAATATCCGTCAGATATTATATACGAGTACTTCTTTCTAACTGCAAAATGCGCTGGTGAGTGGATTTATCAGCTGTGTTAACTGCGGAATGAGTTTTTTTTTCTATTTTTGGCAATGCCGAACATGCTTACGTAACGTGAACTGTAATTCGTTGTTTGACATCGCGACTCTGTGAAGCAGCCAATCAAATGATTTAATTATGAAATGATGTTATTAATTACATACGACGATTTTTCGGCGAATTTGCCCACGGGTGATAAGACGAGATTACCCTTGGGTTTCCGACGATGATAAAAATACCAAAATCGTGAAAATGCCAGGAAAACGTAAGATAGTTCGAACCAGTGTTCCTGCTGACGTTCCCTCTTAATTTTGTATATTTTGTAGTCATTGTTCAAGACCATGATTTGGATAGCATTCTGATTATATCCCCCGCTTGAAAAGGGGGAAGGGTATATAGTAATCGGCATGTCCCTCCGTCCGTCTGTCTGACAGTACGTCCGTCCATCTGTTACGCTTTGGGGTACCCATCTCTTATCCGTAACACCTTTCATACTAATGAATGAAATTTGATGAAACTTTTACAGAATCTTTATTATTACATATTGTCATTGTGCACCTCCTATTTGATGAAACTTTCACAGAATCTTTATTATTACATCTTGTCATTGTGCACCTCCTATTTTTCACTTTCTAATCCAACACATACTTTGAGTTTCTCATAGCAAAACACGGACACTGTCATTATATTCATATGGAAGGCGGGGCGTATCATTTACCTGGGTAGTGAGCTCATTGCTAACAGTACCTCTAGTTGCTCACTGTATCTTTAGTTTTCTTAAGCATAGGCATGGTCAAGAGGAACAATAAGCTGATTATGAACTTGTCTGTCACAGTCACACCAGGGTTTTGCACTTCGGAAAAAAATTAACATAATTTGTTTCAGCTTAACGTTAGAAGCTACGAACATATGTAGAAAGCTTGAATACTTGTTCTGTGTTTTTTTTTTTTAGCTCTGCTGGTCAGAGACCAGAAGAGGTTATGCAATAGTAATGCGTCTGTCGTCCGTCTGTCTGTCTGTAAACAATTTTTCAAAATGCTACTCCTCCTACAGTTTTAGTCCGATTTCAGTATAACTTTGCACACAAGTAGACTACACTAAGATAATTCTATGCATTGGTTTTTGATTTCGATGAACGGTGTTGCCGTGGTTACTAAAAATAGAAATTTCTGTGAAATTCTTTCAAAATGCTACTTCTCCTACAGATTTGGTCCGATTTTAATATAACTTGGCACCTAAGTAGACTACACTAAGATACATAATTCTGTGCATCGGTTTTTGATTTCGGTAAACGGTGTTGCCGTGGTTACTAAAAATAGAAATTTCTGTGAAATTCTTTCAAAATGCTACTCCTCCTACAGTTTTGGTCCTATTTCAATATAACTTGGCACACAAGTAGACTACACTAAGATACATAATTCTGTGCATCGGTTTTTTATTTCGATAAACGGTGTTGCCGTGGTTACTGAAAAAAGAAATTCTGTGAAATTCTTTCAAAATGCTACTCCACCTACAGTTTTGGTCTGATTTTAATATAACTTGGCAAACACGTACACTACACTAAGATACATAATTCTGTGCATCGGTTTTTGATTTCAATGAACGGTGTTGCCATGGTTACTAAAAATATAAATTTCTGTGAAATTCTTTCAAAATGCTACTCCTCCTGCAGTTTTGGTCCGATTTCAGTATAACTTGGCACACAAGTAAACTATACTAAGATACATAATTCTGTGCATTGGTTTTTATTTTGATGAGTGGCAAGGATCATTTTTCTATTTATTGCTAACTTAAACTCTCAAGTCCCAACTGCTACTTTTCTCTTCCTTTGTTTTAAGTATAAACCAGTAGAGCTACAGTCTCGACAGAGACTTCTGGTTATTTCCTTTTGTAATGAAGCAATTAAATCTGAAGTAATACTTTTTATTGCTTCACTACAAAAGGATAAATTAGACGACCTTCAGACAGGAAACTTTTATCATGGATAAATTTGAGTGAACTTTTGTCAAGTTTGAAACAAGTTCAAACACAATTCGTGTCTCCATTTCCTTAAGGTTTCGTCAAAGGTCAACATGTCCAAAAATTTATTTTTACAATAGCCCCAAAACTATGTGAGGTATAAAGCTGAAACTTCTACAGTTTATAATTTTTTCATTGATTAACAGATAGAAAGTATCACTTAATAAAAAAAATACTTGGAATAATATTAATTGAGAAAAATTCTTCTTAAAAATGCATATATTTTCAAAAAAATACACCTAGTTTATTCCATGCTCTTAGTGAAAACCATCATTGCAGAAACAAAATATGTTTATCAATGAAGGGCAAGTTGGACTTGGATAGCCTCTGGAAAGTTGTTTTCCCTGTTTATTTTGTCCAAATGTCAAGACTTGAAAGTGAAAGTACATTGCAAATGGCCGATTCTATAGGGGTCTTGTCTTTATACATGTCATGCTTTCAATAACAGCCTTTCAGAGACCATTCACGCCCAACTTGCCCTTCAATGATAAACATATATTATTTCTACAATGTTGGTTTTCACAAAAAGGACAGAATTAAGCAGGTGCATTTTTCTTTAAATATGCACATTTTCTGATACATTTTTCTCAAATAATATCTGTTTTAAAATATTTGTTGTCAAGTGATACTTTCTATCTATTAATCAATGATATATTTATAAACTGTAAACGTTTCGAGTTTATACCACACATAGTTTTGGAGCTATTGTAAAAATAATTTTTTAGACATGTTGACCTTTGACGAAACCTTAAAACGGTCATCATGTCCACACAAAAAATAGAGAGTTCTGAATAAACGATTCCAATCACCGTTGTATATTTGAATCGGACAAGACTATAAATCATCCTTATGATTAATTCAAACCAATTGATGTTATTTTTTTCTATATATTTACGTACTTCCTTTTCAAAAAATGAAAGTTTTTTTCGTAAAATACTTTCCTTAAATTTAAGCAGCATATCCCTTACATATCTTTAAAGTTTTCGCAAGGTAATGAACTTGGTAGCACCAGTTGAAAGCGTCTTATCCTTTTCCCCTTTTATTCAAGCGAAAAATGATATTTAAAAAACCGAAATTTTTTGTTTACTTTAATTGTTGTTGTTTTTTTCACACTGTTCCGTTCCATTTCGCAATAACATCAATAATTTATACAATATTGTACAATATGAAAGAAAAGTCAATTAACGTTATTTAACTTTTTTTAAGTACGACATTGAAGCAATCCTTTTTTTGTAATTTTTCTAACAATTCTACATTCTAATTGTTTTACAACGGTCAACTCTTGAGTTTACACGTGTATTAGAAATAAAAGTACATGTTATTACTTCTCCAATACTGCCTACCTGTACATCATTATTTTTTTTTTTCGGAAAACAAGTGTTCGTCGTTTTGAAAAATATTTTTTAATGAAGATTTAATCTCAATATCAAAAAGAAACTTCGTCTGGACTATTGCATTGTGGTTGATTTTGTTCTGCTTATGGACAGTTTAAATGTTTATTCGAAATTAAAAATCTCCGTTTGAAAGGTTCATTTTTGAAATTATCTGTACTTTAAGCATTTTTAGCGTTTCATGCTTGAAAAAACCAAAATATTTGTTTTGAAACAAACCTTACAGCTGTGTGTACTTCGGTACATGTAATAAAATACGTATGGGAACAAATGCTCCAGCTGTCGCAATAGCAAAATTTATGCTAATGAAGTGATTTTAATGATTTTGCTTTTATAAAAATGAAATAAAATTGAAAATCAAAAATCGTGCAAGAGATTTTAAATAACCATAGCTGTTGCACTGTATTTAAAGATTATTGCTGGCAGTGCCATCCCTCATGATTCGAGTTTTTGTTTCTTTGGCGTCAACTTGGGTATGTTACTTTTATTTTCAAATAAGTATAAAGTATTTTTGTGTAGGATTAGGAAAAATTAAAAATATTTTGTTGTGAAAATAACGAACATGAGTCGATTTCAAAAACATTTCAGAGATTTTGATCTGTGACCAGCGCATAAAATAGGGACCCTGAAAATCCAGAAGTTTAAACCAAGTGCTAAGATTAAGTATGTATCCTCTGTTCACTGGTCACATGTAAAAGTTGAATTTTATTAAAGCATTTTTTGTAGTATAAACAGGTAATGACTTTTTTCCGATTTATGAACCGCAAAAGGTTCCCCAAATTTTACAGTAGAAAATGGAAGTCTTAAAATTGAATTTTGAAATTACATAATAGTTTAATTTTTTGCGCTCGGTGACTAAAAATTGTACACTTTTTATGTATTACGGGATCGTTTTGTCCGTCAAATACTGGGCAAACATTTACTTTTCTCTTACTGTTGAACCCAGATTCCTTAAAAACCTTAAAGACACCAATGCAAGTGGCTAATTTTGCAGTTTTTTGACAACCACTTTTACAAAATGGTTTGTCCGTCCGTCTTTATTTCTCTTTGTCACAGTCTGAAACATTTTCGTTTTCATGCAGTATCATGAGAAACCTTTCAGCTTTTGCAATAAAAACCATATGACCATAAGAAGACGCCATTTGATTTTGAGGTCCATCCAGATGTCTGTCTGTCTGTGGTACTCTCGTTTCATCGCGATATGTCTTAGCTTTTGCAATGAGATTTTACATGGCAGTTCACTATGTCGTATAGAAAACGCCTATTGATTTTGAAACCAACGGCTAAATTAGGCAATGTGTTTTTTATTTAAAAAAAAAAATTTTTTTCAGAGAAAGGAAAAATGACGCCAAAACTATCAACCGTGTTATCTTTCACATGTTTGGTGTTAATCATTCTCACTAAAGGTAAGCAAAACGTCATCTCTGTAAGGACTCATTAAGATATTAAATTGTCAATGCCCTGTTATCAAAGATTTACAGGGGGGGGGGGGGGGGGGGTATGTAGTGTTTCTAATATCAAAATGAACAACTTCTGGTTCATTAACATATTTCATAAAGAAAATTAACATCATTTACATGTAATTTACGATTCAGTATTTCTCGGTCTCTAAATCTTCAAAAGGTCTGTTGTAAATTTTTATAGCAAATACAATGTAAAAGTATTCATTATACGTCCATGAAGCTATAACAAACGAGAGTAACTTTTGTAAAGGCACAGGAGTCTGAAGTGTTTACCGGCAAAAAATATCTGGAAAAAAAAATTTCCACCCTCAACAGAAAATAAAACACCAGGATGGCAACATGTTTTATGGGGACCCACTTAAACTCGGCCCGTAGTCGTCAAGCAGAATGAATATTTTTAATTTGATTAAAAAGTAAAAACACTCCGGACACTTGATTTAGTCTCAACAATTTTCTGATCAAACTGAGATCTATTTGTTGAAGTGGGTCCCCCCAAAATACGTTGCCATCCTTGTTTTTAGTTGAGGGTGGCAATTTTTCCTGGATTTTTTTTAACGACGACGACTTCGGACTACTGTGGTGAAGGTACGGCTAGGCTACCTAAAATACATCTGCTTTTTAGGTTGTGAAGGACAATCGTGTACAGAATCCGAGTTAAAGAAATGCAACCCAACCTATCATATACATAAAGTGGGACTAGGTGTACAGGTATATACTTGCAGGTATTGTACTTCTTATATATGTTTGGTGAAAAATAGGTTCTGCTTATTATTCATTGTCTTTATATTTTCACATAACCCTTCCACTCTTCATGACCTTTTTTCCGTCTTTTTAACTCATGTGACTTAATACATGTACATTAAATCGGACAAAAACTGTAGGAGGAGTAGCATTTTGACAGCATTTCACAGAAATTTCTATTTTAGTAATCACGGCAACACCGTTCATACAAACCAAAAACCGATGCACAGAATTACGTATCTTAGTATACTGTAGACGTACTTTTTTCCACGGGGTCATAATTCCGCGGAATCTCATTTTCTGTTCAATCCGCTGGTAGAAAATTTCGCGGATTTCATTGACTATCACTATATGCCTTACAATTATATTAAGTACGCGTGGACAAATTTCCGCGGGAAATACGTGATCGCGTACATAGAGTAAATTAATACCACGCGGAAAAAAAATACTTCTACAGTATTCTACATGTGTGCCAAATTATATTGAAACCAGACCAAAACTCTAGGAGGAGTAGCATTTTGAAAAATTGTTTACAGACAGACAGACAGATGGACGGACGACGGACGCATTACTATCGCATAGGCTCTTTTGGGCTTTGACCAACAGAGCTAAAAAAGGAATGAATATTTTATTGAATTCAAAAACACGATCTCGTGATCAAAATATTACTGAATTCCTTGGAGTAAACAAAGGTGTTTTACAACACCTTGCCTTTTCATTCCTTCATTCCCTACGACTGGTGTGTTCGGAGGATATGTACAAGTTAGTTTGACATGAAAAGGATCTATCATATTGTGTAAATTATTAGTTGATGATCACAGGGATTATGATTTATGAATTCATAATTACTTGTATTATACGTTACATTAAATATACTTAATATCCGACGTATGCAGGTAATTTATATCTACACCTTTCGCCCAACTCAAGAGGGGGCAAGTTGTTTATCAATACTGTTTGGTGGACAACTTAAGTAAATTTTCATTCTGCAAAAGTGAAAGGGCGAAAATAAAACTAGGGGAAGTGAAAAAATACCAAAGTACGTTTATGGAATACATTTAAAATTCTTTTACCGAGTATATTTTATTTATATGGTGACCTCTGTTAAATAATAACAAAATAAATACATAAAATGTTCATTTCAGTGGATTATCAAGCAACGTCACCTGTGTACAAAAAGTAGTAAACGATTGTGAATCAAACTTAGATGCACCTGGAAATCGCATTGTTCACGAATCAGGAAAAGAAGAACTTGACCTGTGTAATGTTCTGGGATGTGGTAAGATGTTATCAAACTAACTTAAGTTATTGAAAATCCACTCGTCTGTTTGTAAAGTGTGAGGATTCCGTCTTTTCTGATACTGGCCTTATCGTTTGAATGGTACGCGGAGCTCTTTTGATGCGTGGCTCTTACATGACACACTAATACCTCGGTCGTCAAAGCCGTGACCAAGTCATTTGATTTTTCACAGATGTTAGAAAATTTATGGTAATTAAAATTTACAAAGTTGTGAGAAATCATGTGCCTTTCTGAAACACACTTAGAACCACGATTATTGCATGTACATTCACTTTTTTTTTACTAATTCAGATTTTCATTTATTTTTAGATTTGGAGCCAGAATGTTTAAGGAGCCTGCTGATTTTTAGCTCTACTGGTCAGAGACCAGAAGAGCTTATGCGATAGTAATGCGTCCGGCGTCCGTCCGTCTGTCTGTCTGTCCGTCTGTCTGTAAACTATTTTTCAAAACGCTACTCCTCCTACAATTTTAGTCTGATTTCAATATTACTTGGCACACAATTAGACTACACTAAGATACATGGAATAGTGCATCGGTTTTTGATTTCGATGAACGGTGTTGCCATGATTACTAAAAATAGAATTTTCTGTGAAATTCCTTAAAAACGCTGCTCCTTCTAAAGTTTTTGTCTGATTTCAATATAACTTGGCACACAAGTAGACTACACTAAGATACATTGAATAGTGCATCGATTTTTGATTTCGATGAACGTTGTTGCCATGGTTACTAAAAATAGAATTTTCTGTGAAATTCCTTTAAAACGCTGCTCCTTCTACAGTTTTTGTCTGATTTCAGTATAACTTGGCACACAAGTAGACTACACTAAGATACATAGAATAATCCATCGGTTTTTGATTTCGATGAACGGTGTTGCCATGGTTACTAAAAATAGAATTTACTTTGAAAATCTTTTAAAACGCTACTCCTTCTACAGTTTTGGTCTGATTTCAATATAACTTGGCACACAAGTAGACTACACTAAGATACATAGAATAGTGCATCGGTTTTTGATTTCGATGAACGGTGTTGCCATGGTTACTAAAAATAGAATTTTCTGTGAAATTCCTTAAAAACGCTACTCCTTCTACAGTTTTTGTCTGATTTCAATATAACTGGGCACAAAAGTAGACTACACTAAGATACATAAAATAGTGCATCGGTTTTTGATTTCGATGAACGGTGTTGCCATGGTTACTAAAAATAGAATTTTCTGTGAAATTCCTTTTAAACGCTACTCCTTCTACAGTTTTGGTCTGATTTCAATATAACTTGGCACACAAGTAGACTACACTAAGATACATAGAATAGTGCATCGGTTTTTGATTTCGGTGAATGGTGTTGCCATGGTTACTAAAAATAGAATTCTCTGTGAAATTCCTTTAAAACACTACTCCTTCTACAGTTTTGGTCTGATTTCAATATAACTTGGCATACAAGTAGACTACACTAAGATACATAGAATAGTGCATCGGTTTTTGATTTCGATGAACGGTGTTGCCATGGTTACTAAAAATAGAATTTTCTTTGAAAATCCTTTAAAACGCTACTCCTTCTACAGTTTTGGTCTGATTTCAATATAACTTGGCACACAAGTAGACTACACTAAGATACATGGAATAGTGCATCGGTGTTTGATTTCGATGAACGTTGTTGCCATGATTACTAAAAATATAATTTTCTGTGAAATTCCTTAAAAACGCTACTCCTTCTACAGTTTTTGTCTGATTTCAGTATAACTTGGTACACAAGTAGACTACACTAAGATACATAGTCCATCGGTTTTTGATTTCGATGAACGGTGATGCCATGGTTACTAAAAATAGAATTTTCTGTGAAATTCCTTTAAAACGCTACTCCTTCTACAGTTTTGGTCTGATTTCAATATAACTTGGCACACAAGTAGACTACACTAAGATACATAGAATAGTGCATCGGTTTTTGATTTCGGTGAATGGTGTTGCCATGGTTACTAAAAATAGAATTCTCTGTGAAATTCCTTTAAAACACTACTCCTTCTACAGTTTTGGTCTGATTTCAAAATATGTTGGCACACAAGTAGACTAAACAAAGATACATAAAATAGTGCAATGGTTTTTGATAAGTACAAACCAGTAGAGCTACAGTCTCGACAGAGACTTCTGGTTTAAAACTGTTTTTAACTGAGGCAATTGTGTTTTCAATCTGCGTGGCCACAAACCACCATGCCCAGATGCTTTTAGACAAAGGAGAGAGATCATCTTATGCTCCCCATGGGACTTGGGATCCTCTTACTTCAGAAGAATTATATAGGTATATGATTGTTTGATTTCGATGAACGGTGTTGCCATGGTTACTAAAAATAGAATTTTCTTTGAAAATCCTTTAAAACGCTACTCCTTCTACAGTTTTGGTCTGATTTCAATATAACTTGGCACACAAGTAGACTACACTAAGATACATAGAATAGTGCATCGGTGTTTGATTTCGATGAACGTTGTTGCCATGATTACTAAAAATATAATTTTCTGTGAAATTCCTTAAAAACGCTACTCCTTCTACAGTTTTTGTCTGATTTCAGTATAACTTGGTACACAAGTAGACTACACTAAGATACATGGAATAGTGCATCGGTTTTTGATTTCGATGAACGGTGTTGCCATGGTTACTAAAAATAGAATTTTCTGTGAAATTCCTTTAAAACGCTACTCCTTCTACAGTTTTGGTCTGATTTCAATATAACTTGGCACACAAGTAGACTACACTAAGATACATAGAATAGTGCATCGGTTTTTGATTTCGGTGAATGGTGTTGCCATGGTTACTAAAAATAGAATTCTCTGTGAAATTCCTTTAAAACACTACTCCTTCTACAGTTTTGGTCTGATTTCAAAATAAGTTGGCACACAAGTAGACTAAACAAAGATACATAAAATAGTGCAATGGTTTTTGATAAGTACAAACCAGTAGAGCTACAGTCTCGACAGAGACTTCTGGTTTAAAACTGTTTTTAACTGAGGCAATTTTGTTTTCAATCTGCGTGGCCACAAACCACCATGCCCAGATGCTTTTAGACAAAGGAGAGAGATCATCTTATGCTCCCCATGGGACTTGGGATCCTCTTACTTCAGAAGAATTATATAGGTATATGATTGTTTGTGAAGATCAGTATGTGCAATAATTCATTTCAATGCTTTTTTGAAAAATATCCAAAGGTATGAGAAAGCTTTCATCGATTCAGACTTTGTGTAATTTACATTGACCAAGATTTCAGTAAAATTGCAGATCAATGGTAAATAAATAAGTAAACATAATTTATGTAGTACTTTCTGGGAAAGAAATGATCTAATTCAGTTTGAATAAAATGGATGTTATCGATTGTGGTGATGCACTGTGTGTAAATTTTCATTATCCTCTTTTTCAGATTCTTTGGCATCATTATGTACATGTCCGTTGTCAAGTTCCAGTCACTGGACAGGTATTGGTCGACGTCACCACTGTACATGAACAATCCTGTTAAAGACATTATGTCTCGTAACAGATTTCAGGCCATCTTGTCCTTCCTCCAAGTAACCCCACCAGCAGATATTGACAAAGGTATTCTTACATTTGATGTGGATGTGCATGTATTATGAAAAAAAAATCGGTTTGATTTTAAAATGTTCAACTTCCCTTAGGCCTCATTATTTTTTTATTACCCATTCAATTTGAAAAGACATTCAAAAATATTTTTTCTTACAACAGGAGAGAAACTAACTAGAATACAGGCACTAATTGACCATGTTCGAGACACTTCAAAAGAATTGTTCCACCCTTTTCGAGAAGTTGCAGTTGACGAAAGAATGGTCGCCTCAAAACACAAGTACTCCGGAATAAGGCAGTTTGTGAAAGACAAGCCAGCCCGATTTGGGATTAAGCTTTGGGTTGTCGCTTGTAATATGACCGGTTAAACTTATGATTTTTTTGTATATTTGGGCAAGAAGAATACAGTATTTATGGATAAAACAAAAGGTCTTGCATTCAATGTTACTATGACATTATGTAAATCTTTTTTTGATCAAGGTTACAAAGTTTTTACAGACTGTTTTTACACTTCATTAGCACTTGGCAAAGAATTATTACAGAAGAAAGTTTATCTTGTTGGTGTGTTAAAATCCAATAGTTTATCTATTCCTAGTGAATTGAAAGATGTTAAATGTTGGGAAAAAATTGCAAGACGAGGTGATTTTAAATGGCATCGAGAAAATGAATTTGTTTTTGTTCCATGGAAAGATTGTAAAGTGGTAACATTTATGTCATCTTTGCATCAAGGTTCAGCAACAACTGTTTGTGATAGAACATTGAAATCAAGATTAACATGGGCTAAGAAAGAACTTGTACAACCTCTCGTAGCTAGTGATTATAACAAATGTATGGGTGCTGTAGATTTATCAAATCAATTTACTAGTAAATATCATTCTTATATTAGAACACAATTGCACTGGTGGAAAGTACTGTTTTTTTCATTTACTTGATATTCTGGTTGTTAATTCTTATATCCTATTTCAAGAATTTAGAAAAACACATGTAAATCAGTTTTCAAATTGTACATCAACTTTTGGGCAGCTCGAGTTCCGTGAAGTACTTACATTGTCTCTTATGGGATTAAAAGACAAACTTAATGTTTCTGTGTCAAAAACAACTATTAAATGTATTCCACAGGTATTGGATAAAAGAAAGGATTGTGTTTATTGTAATGCAGAAGCCATTTATTTGAAGAAGAAATGTACAAGTTATAAAACTTGTATTTACTGTCCATCTTGTGAAGTTCCTTTATGTTTGACAAAGGAAAGAAATTGTTTTGAAAAATGGCACAGCAATGATGGGGAATGTGTTAGGAACTGTGCTGATACATTTTGTAAAAAAAGAAAATTGTAAACAATAATGTTCCTGCTTGATGTATTCCACTGTACGAGGAACATTGTTTAAAGTTAATAATAATGTTTTTCATGACACAAAATGTACGTACATGTTTATTAGTACATATGTCTGATGTTACTGTATTACAAGTGAATGCAAATATATGAATTTATTCATTCTTATTAAGGAGTAAATACAGAACAAAATATTGTTGAAAAGAGATTGAACAATTGGTTTTTTAGTGCTGGAAAAATTTGATGCTGGAGTATAATGTCAACCTTTAGTTTTCCTATACTTTCCAGTTGGTTACTCCGTACAAGTATGCATACAAGTAGTCTAAACATAAGTTTGCCAAAGTGTTGTTGCATAGCAACTAAAAACTTTTTAACTCAAATGATGTTAAATTATCTTGTTTTAAATTCAAATATGAGGGAAATTAACATATTAGGAAAAATTTTTATTGCAATATTTATTCTATGAAATGGTAAAGATTGATATAGAATATATTGGTTCAAAATGATGAAAAGATAAAGAAAGAACTTTTTGCACTTGATAACCTTTGACCTAAATTCTCTCAAAGATGTCCATGATTTTTGTTAAAATGTATCAAAATCTGTCTAAAAATATTTTTTTTCAATTATTTGGTATTAAGGTAAGCTATTTGCTATGTTATAGAGTTTAAATTGTGTTAAATGGGGACAGAAAGGCAAAATTATGCTAAATTGGTATTAGAGTGTTGTTACTTAGCAACCAAAATTATTTATTTGTCAATAAAATTGAATTATTTGATTGTGATGTTTTTGTAGTGTTTTAGAAGGCACATAAGTGCATATACTTAGAATTTCCTATTTTTGACTTTAACCCAGGAAGAGGGACCCTGACATATACATTCAAAGAAAAAACGGGGTAAAAATCTGTACTTATTTGACCTTTACCCCACACACGTCTTTAAGGTCAAGGGGTAGCATGACAGAATATATAAGAAAATTTTCTTCTAAAAATTCCTGACAAAATGGTAGGTCACACACCTACCCATAATCATGGTAAATATATTTTTAAATAAGTTTAAATAATATTGTCAATTAGTCTTCAAATAGTCTTAAAAAGTGCCGGTAGAGAAAGGGTTAAATGTTATTTAGTAAAAAGAATGCAAAGTTTGAGTCAATATTTTTTTCTAAAATGACCGAGATTGACCTGTGAAGCACATTTTCTCATATTTCATTTTGATACATTAGCCTAGCAAAGTGCATCTATTTATGATAATTCATGCAAAACAATGATTATATATGGTTTACTAACAGGTTTCTACTCTATTTTGTGTATTGAAGTTGAATATTTAGACTTTAATTCATTTAAATACAACAAAATGTAGGATAGGTAAATTTCAGTATTTTACATTTCGGGGTATTTACTCCGATAGGCAATAACGGAAAAGTGAACATGTTGACATATAATTTTTTTCTTGTGTCTATCCATTGCTGGGATGTATATCTAACTTATAAAAGCAGATTTTTAGCTCTACTGGTCAGAGACCAGAAGAGCTTATGCGATAGTAATGCGTCCGTCGTCTGTCTGTCTGTAAACAATTTTTCAAAATGCTACTCCTCCTACAGTTTTGGTCCGATTTCAATATAACTTGGCACACAAGTAGACTACACTAAGATACATAATTTTGTGCATCGGTTTTTGATTTCGATGAACGGTGTTGCCGTGGTTACTAAAAATAGAAATTTCTGTGAAATTCTTTCAAAATGCTACTCCTCCTACAGTTTTGGTCTGATTTCAATATAACTTGGCACAAAAGTAGACTACACTAAGATACATAATTCTGTGCATCGGGTTTTGATTTCGATGAACGGTGTTGCCGTGGTTACTAAAAATAGAAATTTCTTTGAAATTCTTTCAAAATGCTACTCCTCCTACAGATTTCGTCCGATTTCAGTATAACTTGGCACACAAGTAGAATACACTAAGATACATAATTCTGTGCATCGCTTTTTGATTTCGATAAACGGTGTTGCCGTGGTTACTAAAAAAAGAAATTTCTGTGAAATTCTTTCAAAATGCTACTCCTCCTACAGTTTTGGTCCAATTTCATTATAACTTGGCACACAAGTAGACTACACTAAGATACATAATTCTGTGCATTGGTTTTTGATTTCGATGAACGGTGTTGCCGTGGTTACTAAAAATAGAAATTTCTTTGAAATTCATTCAAAATGCTACTCCTCCTACTGTTTTGGTCTGATTTTGATATAACTTGGCAAATAAGTAGACTACACTAAGATACATAATTCTGTGAATCGGTTTTTGATTTCAATGAACAATGTTGCCATGGTTACAAAAAATATAAATTTCTGTGAAATTCTTTCAAAGTGCTACTCCTCCTGCAGTTTTGGTCTGATTTCAGTATAACTTGGCACACAAGTAGACTATACTAAGATACATAATTCTGTGCATTGGTTTTTTTATTTGATGAGTGGCAAGGGTCATTTTTCTATTTATTGCTGATTTAAAGTCTCAAGTCCCAACTGCTACTTTTCTCTTCCTTTGTTTTAAGTATAAACCAGTAGAGCTACAGTCTCGACAGAGACTTCTGGTTTGAGATTGAGCCCATTTAGCGCCGAGTGTAGAACTACCTTAAATGAAATGCAATTAAAAGAAAAAAAATCACATTTTTAAACCTTTTCTGATTATTTAAAGAAATTTGTAAGCCCCTCTGCCTAGACTAATAAAAATAAGATATTTTCAAATTTTTCCAAAACAGAAATGTGTAACAAGCTATTCATTATGTTGCAGACAAGACTACGGTACCAACCAACACCGCAGACTCTCTTACTACTGCACCGCGTAGGCGAGTTTTGCAATTTTTTAGTTTTTTTTTTTTTTTTTTTTCTTTTTAGATTTTTCTATATTTGTCTCAAAACGCTTTCTCTTCTACAGTAATACAAGCTACTAATGTCGGTAACGGCCGAGATTCGAACTCGTATTCTCCCAATCACGGAGCGATTCCCCAAATGACTGAGCTACCGTGTTAAGAAAGTGGGGAAAAACGTAGGACTGTTATTCTGTATATTGCCTTCGCACACTTATAAGTCCGAGTGTTTCTACGCATTTCTTTTATTTGATATGTTAATTACTAGAATAGAAAGTTACATAAAACAATCAATATCCGTAGATATATTCAATTTGTTTAAATCGCTCACCGTTTTTCTTTTTCTTTATCTTTTTCTATTAATTACACATTGTTGATACATCGACATCATAAGTTGACAATTTTTCAAGAAAAGCCTACTGTTTAGAAGCATAGCACACGAAATAAAGCTTAAAGCTGAATAATATTCGCAAAAATAATTTGTCCGCCATATTTGTTAGAGCTTTCGCTAATATCTGAAGGCCTTTATCAATGGGGCGGGTCACTTAGTCACTGTTCAGTATAATGAATTGTCAACGCTTTCATGTAAGTATGCTATAAAATACTTGGTAGCGACAATATATAGCTGTGTACTTCTTCCAATGCAGAAAGAAAGATACCATATACACCTACAACATTTGTACAGATCAGTTCAGTATACAAACCATGCGCAAATATAGAGGGGGGAGGCTGGAATTTGTAGATAAATTCAATTGATACAAAGTGACGTGGACCCCCCCCCCTTTCGAAAACTTGGACCTGTGTTAAGTTGGCATGAAAAGAAGTAGGTATAAAGCATTTGAAGTCAAAAGTCTCTCTCTCCCCCCCCCCCCCCCCCCCCCCCCCCCCGAAATAGAATTTGCACGCTTGGGAAAGTTTAGGTTTCTTTTTTTTTTATTTTGCTTGTAAAAAAAATCTGAGTTGGATTTATTTTTTACTTGGGTGGACCCCTCTGGAAAAAATTACTGGAACCGTGCCTGCAAATAAACACAAATATACGTTATTGCAATGTTAATATGGGTAATGCAAGAATTAACCATCACGAACACGGGTCGGGCATTCAACGCCATACCCATGACAATAAAGCAGTCAGGTGTAGTGTAACAAATGCAAAGAGTATACCCTGGTTTTGATGTATTCTAGATAATGATATCAAAAATGTCTTATGCCTAGTTACGAGTCGTGTTTTGCTTTAAGACGATTTTTGGGAGGGGGGTTAAGGCGTGAAACATCTAACATTTTACTACACACTGGCATTTATCCTGATGCGCTTACGCGCTTCTTGAAATATACCGAATGAAAGAATCGTAGTTCATAGCCTCACGAATCTTAAAAAATAAGTGTTGATTGTGTAAAGAATACAATCATTTTTTTTTAAATTCGACAGTAAGTTGTGTGCACTATGCAAAAGTTTGTACTTTTCTAGTGTACAAAACAAAATGTTATCGATATAAACGTAAGGCCATTTATATAAGTTTATTAGATGCAGGGGGTTTTCTTTACTTTTTCCCTTTTTGGTGTGTTTAACGAGACATTTCATTTCTTTTCATATGTTCAGATTTTAGAAATATTAAAACGAGTTACGTCCTAAATTGATCGAAGTTGGCATCTATTTAATTGATGATAATTTAAAATTATGCTAATATACTTTTTCATATGTAAATATTTTCAGGTTTTATTACTAATATTATACATAATTTGAAAAAGCAATACCGAAAAATTCCTAAAGTACAGTTTTATATCTCTTTATAATCAATGAAGTACACTATTGCACCGTGTATATAAAGAAGAAAATGGTATAAATATTGCTCTCAGCATCGTTACACAGGTTCCGAATTTCACATTTCTTAAGCGGTTATTTTTATCCTTTTTCAATGAAAAAAAGGAATACTTTGCGTCTCTTTTGTTTCTTAACATTAATAGGGAATACTGATGTTTCTTTGTTAAAGCCAATATTGACTATATAAGTAACACATACAGGTGATAGCGAAAAAGATAACAGCGTAAAAGCTTACATATACTGTAGAAGTACTTTTTTCCGCGTGGTATTAATTTACGCTATGTACGCGGCCACAAATTTTCCGCGGAAATTTGTCCAAGCGGACTTAATGAAAATGTAAGGCATATAGTGACAGTATAGAAAATCCGCGTAATTTTCTGCCCGCGGATTAAACAGAAATTAAGATTCCGCGGAATTATGACCCTGTGGAAAAAAGTACGTCTACAGTATGTAAACATCAAACTTTTAAATACATGTTACAGACACTGTTATTTCTCATATCTATGTTTAATTTGATAAATCCGGACGATATCTCAATATCCATTTGAAGTTCTCAACAATTGTTTTATTTTATTTTCATCTTATGAAGTTAAAAGTTTTTAAATGAATTCTATACTGTTAAAACTATTTAACTTGTAAAAAGGAGTACAATAACCAATCAGAATTCGAACAGTTCGGAAAATCTAGTTTTCGAAGACTTCATAAATAAGTCAGTGATGAACTCCACAATTCTGAATTTCTGATTATATAAAATTTACAAATTAAAAAGAGTAAAGTGATTAAAATGTTACGAAAATATTTAGTTGAAGACTATTCTAATAATTTAAAGAATACATGTGTTTGGACTTGCAGATGCAAGCTAATAAAAAGCGAAGAGATACAAAATGGCATGTGAGGATTTGCACTGACTTTGATTTAATTGTACACAAGTAGGAATCGCTTGAAAGTCAAATTTAAGTCGAAAGTAAATTAAATTTTATTATTTCTCCAATAAGCATGTGTTCAAAACATTTCCTGTACATATCAGTATTAAAAGAGATATAAAACTTTAAGATACGATTGCTTTATTTTTAAAATTCATTTTATCCGGAGAAAAAAAAGATCTTTTTAGTCCGTTGAAAGTTGTCGTTTTCGATCATGTCTACATCGTCGCTTTACATTTACATTTTCTACAGAACGACCGGGAAAGCTTGATCAAAATTCGAGTTTAAGTAATCTTTGATAGAGGGCATTCACGTCAAGGATTACACACTCTACCAAAGGGAGATAATCAAGAAAACAATGAACATTCTTAGGATCATCTAGAAATCATATTCTCAAGAACATTTGGGGAAGTTTGATGGAACAATATGAGAGTAAGATTTTAAATGGAAATTTATGGGGAAAATGTGATAGTCATCATTTGAAGGCATTCCAGGCAGTTTTCATCAAAAAATGTTAAAATGTTGACTCCAATTAAAGGGATGGGCCAAAATTAAATATACATGTAATTATCAAAGTTTAACTCAAGAATTCATTGTATAAACTGGAAAAAAGATCTTCCTTAGAATTGCAAATCCACAATTTATCCTCGCTACAGTAGATCAAACATTTTTAAGAACAGTGTGAATACATGTTTCTCTTTGCCTACAGCCATACTTTTTTTAAAATGCTTACTTAAAGTGTTTTTCTAGGCAACGATTTGTAGGTGAGCAATATTGCCCATGGACCCTTGTTTACAATTTCAAATTCAATATTTTTTTTCCTATAGAATGGAGAAAATCATGGACAAGCTTTCAACCACAATATTTATAATTTGTGTGGCTTTTGTCATCACCCAAAAGGGTACGTAGGCAAAATGATTTTCTCATCTGAAATCACTGTTTAAATAGTTCTCACTATTTAATTTATCATTACATATGAATCATTTTATATGTAATATTTATGTATGAAATCGTCAAACTAATCACTAGTTGGTATATATTTCATGTGATATATTTTTTTAATTTAGGTTGTAATGGGCAGCAGGTCTGTTCTGGTCAAAGTTTAACAAGTTGTGGTGAAATCTATCGCATGACTAGAGTAGGATTTGCCCAGACAATACAAGTTTGCAGGTTTTCTTATCTTACCGTTTTTTTTTCGCTCATGAATTTGTTCTCGTTTCTAGCAAACTGGACAAATATCTCCCCATTTCTGCTACAATGTGTCCGTCGTCTGTCTTTTACCTTCATGGTCCTTCTCTGCCCTCGTATGTTGAGGCCCCCACCTGCCAGAGAGCTGCAAATTTTAACGAATGCTCAGCACTCAGATCGTGCCAGCAACGTCTGCGACACGGTACGGTACCTCGGTTTATACAGACTCATCCGAAGAACCGGTCTCCACCTACTCAACTGGGATTCAAATGTAAGCAACAACTCGTTATTTTCCGATTTAGTGCAAACATTCTTACTATTGTGTCTCCATATTAGCGAAAATTCTAGAGACGTTAAACAACATACAAACAAGCAATCTCACCACTGCGCTGATCGAGCAGGCTATTTTATATGAGAAACCAAAAGCCTAGTCGTTTTTTATCCTATGAACGGTGTTTCTATAGAAATTTATAATTGTCTGTAAAATTCTCTATAAAGTTTTTCTTTGATTGCATGAAATATATGAAGATAAGGAACAGTATTCAAGCTCAAAAGTCCAAATCCATTAAACAATACACTTTTGGAGGAAAGGAAACACAGAATATAAGAGGTGGCTACAGGTATCATGGAGAAGTGAGCATCCCCTGCCGACCGGTCACACCCGCCTTGTGCTCCCTGTCATGATCGGGTTATAAAGGGAAAACAAAATGACTTTTTAGTCGTGTGCAAACTATAATCATTCTAACAGTTGTTTTAAAATCGCTGATCAGCATATGACTTTGAATAAAATGTATTTGCTGACAAGATCTTTGTATGCACCATACAACGTACGGAATAATGAGTACGAAAAGAGACACTTGATATTCTTCTGTGATGAACTTGTTTGTCAGTATCTGCAAATCTTATCAAATTGGACAAAAAAGTAACAAATAACATTATTCTGTTTATTCCTCTTGTATATTTTTAAGACCAAGGACTTTTTTACTTTATTTTAGAGGATATATTAATAACTAGTTCGACTCCCACTGGATGAAAAGCCAGGTTTCCCAAATTTGGAAACCCGATGGAAACATATGGGAATCGTGACATCAGTAGTTTCCATATAGTTTCCATTTTATGGAAACCACATAGTGGTTTCCACATAGATTCCCGACATGGAAACAATCAACCTGTGGTTTCCCGTAAGTTTCCCAAGATAGGAAACCATGGAAACATACCCCGGTGGTTTCCACATAGTTTCCCGACATGGAAACAATCAACCTGTGGTTTCCCGTAAGTTTCCCAAGATAGGAAACCATGGAAACATGCCCCGGTGGTTTCCATGTAGATTCCCGATATGGAAACAACCAACCTGTGGTTTCCCGTAAGTTTCCCAAGATAGGAAACCATGTAAACATGCCTCAGTGGTTTCCATACAGATTCCCGAAATGGAAGCCACCAATGTGTAGTTTCCCCCATGTTTCCCAGGCAGGGACACTTTGAAAGTAAATCTCAATACTAACCCACCTACCTTTTATTTTACAAAAAGTTAAATATTTAATTATGTTACCATATTTTTACCAATGATAGAAATATTTCAAAAATGATTACATACTGTATCAAAATAATTAACTTCAAACACTTAAAATAGCTAGATGTGTATTTCTGTGTGATTAATTTAATATTTCAGCACCGTGAACGCAATTCAATTTTAATTTAATTTTATTTTACTGAATTCTATTTAATTTAATTCAATTTTGAATTTGATTTATCACATAAGTTTTGGTAAACTCGTATAGAATGCGTGAAGTGGAATAGAAAAAAGTAAGTGCATGCAGTTATGTAGAAATCAATCATTTCCGATCCCACTTTCTTGAAGCTGTCTATGATGAATGTTCCTTTGAAAATATGGAAGAGCTAAGGAAGGGTACATTTAATGAAATTATTTACAGAAAAGGTTTTACTAAAAAGATCGAATAAAAAGTAAATATAGAAATATGTCAAATTACGATTACTGATTAAGGACAGGTGAGACGTTCCTCAATAAAATAATTAAATTTTTTTCCAGTATTTTGCAACTGACATTGAAGAATTATTTTTACATAATTACATGTATTCACAAGACATCAAGGTACCTTACTAGGCATTGGTGTTAGATACCAGAGGTTGGCATTTTTCTTATATATCGGGGTAATCCGTCAGGAAAAAAATACTTCAGTTGGTTTGTCAAAATTACATTTTTAGTGTTTCAAGTTTTTAAATACAAGTTTAGAAAGTGATAAAGATTTTGTTTTAACATGAATTAATATATTAATATAAACTGGTCAGATAAGAATCATTCATCGAATTGGCTGGGGGTTGAGTATTATCATACATGTGTACTAGTATTTTACTATTAATAGTGAATATTGTTTTGTTTTTTTTTTATTTATTAAATTATTATTTTTATTATTGGGGGTGGGTGGGTTGCTTTTCATTTTTTCCTTGAGAAGCCCCCCCCCCCCCCCCCCAAAAAAAAAACGCTTTTGAAAAAAGTCACTATCATGGTCGGCCTGTGTAATTAGGTACACCTGTCCTCACGTGCCATTTCAGGTGGAGACACGTGCCGCGAAGACACCTGTCACTGTGTATTTTTTGTATATTCTATGTGAATTGAGACGGTTTTGTACCTAAAGGGAACAATGGGCTGTCGTCGAGCATGTACACACACAGTCTCCGACCGAAAATTCTTTTAAATTAAGATGATGATTCGTGTTTCTTTTATCATTTAAAAAATTGTATATTCCATAAATAAAGTTATACAAGAGAACATATTTATAAAATAACCTACATTTAAGAAGTTCAATGAAAGAACAAACTATTTAGAATTTTTATTTCAATTTTCATTACTGATTTAAAATAAAACTATCCTCTTTAGAAATTAAATAATTTTCTATAGGTTTTGAATAGATCTTAATTCTCGTCGTGTATAATTATATTAAATCAGAATGACGTTAATAGATCAATGTGAAATCAAAACTGTATTTAATATTGTTGATGGGTTTTTGTGTGAAATTTGTAATCTAACGTACTACAAAGACATTTATTAGATAAATGTTTATAATATAATTCATCACATAAAACGTTTTTTTTTGTCTTTCCTTTTTTTGTTTAAATATGTACGCAGATCCCCGTATAGTAAACGCCTGCACTTTTCGCATGAAATTACAATGTAGGGTCCTAAATGCACATACATTATATTTAACAAACTTTAAAAATTTTTAGATATTTTTTTTTTCTCCAAAGGCCATTGCTCTAGATAAAGGAAAGTCTATAATATTTTGCATGATTTTGTTTTCCTTAAGAACAATGGATTTTAAAGTAGTGCATGCTAAGGCAATCTATTAAAATAATTAATTGTATAATTAATTCATTGTATAATTGTCACGATTGTATTTTTGTGCACTTTTTGTTGATTTCATTCTATAAAGGTATGAAGTTTGTCAATACTTCAACAAACATTTCTTTATCTATGTTGTACACTACTTTATTTTTATTCGCCGACATGCTACTCTTTTAAAAAAAAAAAAAAACTTGCGTGACTAATAGACTTGATCTTCAGGCCTGTAGGAAAGTAATTTCCGTTAGAGTAATAAACTAACCGAGATTTTATTTTTACTAGCATACCTTACCAGATTTCTTAACGAAAAAAAAAAAACATTAAAGAATACAGGGCGGGACCAGCAGCTAAAGCTGTATGCATAAGTACAGCCTTGCACATCAACGAGTATATATAGATGACTTTCGGCATAATCTTTCCCATGACTTCACTTATACCAATCACGACTAAAATACTGAATTAAAATACTGTTATATTTTCCTGCCTTTGATAAGATGTTAGTTTTGTTCCACCTAGAGATATAACTCTCCTGAGAAAAAGGTTTTCAACATATTCTGATTCATTTTTAAAACAATTTTACGTGTTAAAATGATGTGTGAAATTTATTTAGCTAAAAGCCAAGGAGTTTAAAGTACAATTTACATGTAGCAATTAGAGAAAAGTCTAGCAGGTCCAACAGTTATATTGATAGCAGGCTCAAAATCTAATTAAACCCCGAAAAGGAGGGAGTTCAATTAGTAATTTAACCCCCCCCCTAAGAAAAACACAACAATTTATTAGCAATGAATTATTAATCACCGAACTTTTCAATCATCACTATTGAAATAAAAAAAACTGTTCTTGATAATCATATTATAATTGTAGCTCATTTTCATGCCTTTTAGGATTCCTGTGGAAAGTTCACAATAAAAAAATGTGCTTTTAAAAATTTAACATCTGTTAGTGTGACATTATAAATTCGTAATCATACATGTAACAGTTAAAAGAAGCGGGGAGAGGGGGGGGGTACTTTCAGCAAGGACGGCAACTAAAAACAACCAAGCCCCGAAACCCATAACCCGAAGGCAAATAAGTTGAGGTGTCGAGCAAGAATTTTTTTTTCTGCTCTTGCCTCATGTATTTAACCGCTTTTTTTTCTTCTAAATATACTAGGCCTACACATCATATCTGCAAAAATATTTAGGAGCCCATCTTTTTATTCCATGAAAAGGGGAAAACTTAATTAAATTCTAATATAAGATCTCAACAGTTTATATTTCCCATCCTGCATCGCTCTGTAGGCGCTTTATTTCATTGGTCAATTTCCCGAGGCGCCATTTTTGGAGGATCGAGAAGGACGAAGAAGAAGGTGTAAGCAGCTGGTAAATGTGAAAAGTAAAGATGGTTTCACCACCCAGTGTCTTTAAGACTGTGATAAATGCAATGGCCAACTATAAAGGATTAGTGTATGTATATTTTTGTTAATTTTTTACGGTAAATAGTTGTAATATTTGGCAACAACAAATCTTCACTAACGGAGGCAACTTTTACTCTGACGCCATTTTGAAAAGTTGGATACCTAAGTTCTAAATTGTTAAGTGTATATATTGCAGAGAGAAAGAGAGAGAGAGAGAGAGAGAGAAATTTGAGACAATGATATAGCATAACTTAGGTTATGGATGCCCCAAAGGCACCGTGCATGTGCATGCTGTATGTTGTAAAATGGCAACGTTTCGCCTTTTATCATGTTTATTAAAATGTATGCTACATATGTATGTTCTCTCTATATATATAAATGAATACTTTTCGGAATTGAAAAAAAATATTTTTAACCCCGCTCAAATTATCCGGATGATAATAGTTTCACCGAGCATGGTTTCGTAGTTAAATTCAGACCGTAGAACATCCGGTTTGAATACATGTGTTTTCTGACTTTTCGGATAGCCAACTCTTGTTTTTTGGAACTTACGACTTACGGCAAGGTATAAATGAAATATTTTTGGTTCAAAACTTTGATAAAAGCATCGATATTTTTACAAAAAGTGTCTTCAATCTCAGCTTATCCGATTATTCATGAAGGATATCCTCATCAGAACAGTTGGAATAGATTGTAGGGAATAGCATAACCTTAATCATATGCATGACGATGATATGGAGGAAAAATATACATAAAAAAGTGAATGTAGGTGAAAGCCTGTCCACTTTTCTAACCTGTTGAGATGAAGATGTTAAAAAAAGAAAAGCCTAATAGTGAATTAATATTGATAGTATGTCAAGAAATGCAAATGAATCATCAGCTTGAATTATCAGTTTTTTCACAATTATTGACCTGAGTAGGACAGTGTATAGCGAATAATACATACTCTTTTCCAAATCACATCCTAGCCCGAGACACCAATATCAGCCAGAGGGACAGAGGCCCTAGGGCTGATATTGGTCAAAGGTCTGATACAGGATGTGATGTGGAAAAGGGTATGTTTCATTATGTTTATTACAAACTTGGTAATAAAATACAGACAGGCCTTTCAAAATCTGCCGGTACCCGGTACTTTTACTCGGTTGGATTCATTCATGGTACCGGCAAAAATATTCAGTGGAGAAAAAAAAATCGCGTGAAAATAAGATAGGCCCTACCAGTTGTGGTTACGTAGCTTTGTATTATTCTTTAGTCCGTAATGGTATCTAATAACGTTTTTGATTGGTTAGTCAAGAAGATCATTAAAGCGTTTGAATAAATGAAACAAAAGAGATTGCGTAACGCGTCTTATAGATCTTGTCGAAAACGAAAGTAGATTTCGATATCAAATGACACCATCACTGATTTTGACAAAATCTAATGACTAGGAATATATTTTAAATAAATACGGCCAAAAAAATAAAAAAACAGGAATCCAGGTGTCAGAAATGAAAGTGTCAATTTAAAGCCATGGTAATGAGTTTCACAAAAGATTTTAAGATACAAGGAACTAGACCAAGGAAAGTCTTCAAAACAATTGACCGATAGAGAGATGGACATGAACAGTAGATAGTTCTTTGACCACCTCTGTACATTTTAATAGCCTCAACTCTTCAAATTTAAGTGTCAAAATACGCAGCTGACGATATAAATTACATACAGTCTTGAATATCTGCAACTTTCTGATGAATCAAAAGGACATAAAACAGAAACTATTTCTTTTGCCACACATTTAATTCTTGATTCAGCAGTTTTCTAGTGGTCAAGAGAATGACCTTGCGGACGTTAACTTTCTTCCAAATATTGTAACCATATCCAGTAAAGTGAGGGAGTCATATCTAAATTTTTTTGTCTCCAGTCTTGATGTCATCTTTGTCTAATTTACACATGTATATTATCTTATATGTACATGTACCAGTGCATGAAAAATATGCTGAATTTATTGGTACATGCTATGCATCATGCAGTGCTTCTTAAAATCTTTTTTTTAAATCTGCACTTTACTGTAGAACAAAATTGAATTTAATTTAATGCAAATACAATTTCATTTCTCTTTTATTGAATTTAAATTTTGAATTTCCATTTCCTTTCGTGACTCAATGATTTTTTTTATATTTAAAACATAACACTTACAACTCAAACCTTGCAAAAAATTTTTGAACACATTTATATAAACAAATATAGCATAGAACTTAGAAGTTTTACCTAAATCTTATTCTTACTCTGCTCAAATAACTAATTTTTTCTATGTAATTCCACCCATCCAGTGCTAAACTTCACATGTAATGTGTATTGACCAAAAATAAACTTTGAAACATGGCATAAAAATAACACTGATAGCAGCATACTTCTATGTGTCTAGAAACCAGGAAATGCTGTCTGGTGGCTTCTAAATTTCAAAATGCCCCCCCCCCCCGGACCCCCCTAGGAGTGGTACCTCCTATTTTTGATAAATTACCACCTGGTTCAAAACTTTTTGAAAGCCGTGTACAGAACACTTCAAGTTGAGAAGATCAAGAAAATAAGTAAATAATCATGCACAATAAAACTACTTACATACATGTACACAGTATTGTCTTACTGAACAGATTTAGCTGTCATTAGGTCAAAATTGCAAATAATAAGATGCTTCTTATATCTGTATATTCAGGTAACTCTTGATAGCTTGAACTTCGATTTCTCGGAAGTTCTTGATCGCTTGAAGTGAGTCTCCGGTCCCAATTTTTTCCACTATATAACTTAGCAGATTTGCTCTTGATTTCTCGAACTCCTGATCTCTCGAAACCCTTGATCCCTCGAAGTCAAAATGCAGTCCCGCTGTGCTGTGAATTTTACCCTTGATACCTCGAAGTGGCTGTGTGTATACCAAGCTATAATGTTCAAACTTTTGGCATAACTGTATATCTGTGTGTCTGTCTGAGTGTCTGTGGTCAACTTAAACCTTCACCATAACTTTAGAACTATACGAGATAGTGGCTTCATATTTAGTATGCATACTCCACTAATGAAGTGCTTTCAAATGGCAACAAGGACAATGATTATGTGATCTTGACAGTGACCTGTAACAGTATGCTAAAAAAAATTGCATTTTCGAACTTTGTTGCTGTGTTTCACAAGCGCATCTTGTTTTCAGCTCTACTTGTCAGAAACCAGAAGAGCTTATGCGATAGTAATGCGTCTGTCCATCTGTCTAGCTGTCCGTCCGTCTGTCTGCAAACACTACTCCTCCTTAAATTTTAGTCTGATTTCAGTATAACTTGGCACACAAGTAGACTATACTAAGATACATGATTCTGTGCCTCAGTTTTTGATAAGTACAAACCAGTAGAGCTACAGTCTTGACAGAGACTTCTGGTTATTTTTTCTTCCATCCCAGTTGTTGCTAATGCTATTACATAATTAGTTTTAATTAGAATGCAATAGTACCTGGACATAATTTATCATTTCAGAGAGAAGAAAACTGTGTGACTTTAAAAGAAAACCAGTGAGATGAAATTATAGAAAATGTATGATGATTCAGGATGTGGTCATTTGGTAAGTGGTAATTCATTCATGATTAGTATGTATATGACAATTGCCTGAAAAAAAAATTCTAAATTTTATTTAAATACTGAACTGTGGTATATCAGTTGTGAGCTACAAGAAGTTTTATGTAAAAGCTAGGGCTGAAACAATTTGCCCCCTCCATGTTATGTGTGTATTGCTATGATTGACATACAATCAGTTCTCTAAAACACACACTTCAATAAAACTTTGTCGTCTTGAACCTGAATTGAACAGGAAAAAACTCTGAGATCTCTACAAAAATTTGAATGCAAAAAAGGAAATGCTTATTAACTGATTTCTTGCTGGTCAGTATTTTGATTACTTGAAGGAAGCTCTAAAAACTGCACAATAAAGAGTTCTACTTTAATATCAGGTAGTTTTATGAAGTTAAAGTGATCTGCCCATAGATTAAGATTATGAAAAATGTTATTTTACAGTCAGTTTTTCTAGATTATTTTTAATAGATTAAATTATTTTTAGCATTATTTAAAAAAAAAAAATAGGATTAAGGAAATTAATTATTTTCATAAATTTTCCAATGTAGGTAAACAGCAATGATTTCTGCTTACAGTCATAGTCCATTGACTTTGAAAATTTCTTGGGGAAATGAGGCACATACTATATGTTCTAAATGAATAAAAAAGGCTCATTATGCACATATTTCTGTGAAATATGATAGATTTTTTTCTCTTCAAGGAATAATTTCTGCAAGTCACTAAGTTTTTAAAGTTTCCTTTATTTTATAGATATTCAATGAAATTATTTGAAGTATTAAATTTTGGTAAATTTTATGATACTAAAAGGTTATATGGATGAAAAAACAGCATGCGTGTATGACAATAGGGCTTAAATTTTTAATGTCTCTTAATTTTTCAGTGACATTAAAACAGGAATTGTCATCACCAATAGACGAATTTCACATTCCTAAGAGTTTCCTCCAATTGTCGACGTATCGCTCATTTTCCCCACTTTGTTCTTTGTAAGTTACTTGTTAATATTTTCAATCTCCAAAAATATTGGACAATTACAATCTGTATCTGAATTGCCAGAGTATGGGGGCAACATGCAAGTCATAATGATAATGTTCATACAGATTTTATTTCTAAGATATTGTCCCTCAAAGTTGTTACGGTTAAAGAGGGAAAACAGCGTCTTAAGCAGGTTGACCCCAGATCGACCCTGCGAAGGGGAATAACTTTTGTAAATGTGAAAGTCCTTTGTGGTATATCATATAGATCTAAAACTGACTGAATTTTGATCAGCCAATTCATGAACATGATGAATGGATGTAAATAATGTTGGTCAATATATGTAAATAAAATTAAATTAGTTGTTTATATATACATTTGTGGTATCTCTCCCATTGAAGTTTATAAACTTGTTATTTATTTCTTAAATAAACTGAGCGTACATGCAATACCGGTATAAAATTACTCATAAGATACATGTATACTTAAACCATGATAAAATCAAATGTGTCCAATGCAGCATATGATAAATCATTAACATACAAGTACATATGTATATATACTGTAAAACATATATATTGCATTATTTTTAGGTCCTGTTCTGTGGATGCCCTTAGACAGTGTCTACCCATCACTCCATCTGAAATCACTTGTTCTGTGCATATTTCTCTCTCAAACTTAAACTACAGAGAGCCTGTGGATAGAGGATGAAGAGTGACCTTGGACTAATTTTCTAGGTCAAAGGTCAGTATCAAAATCTACTGTATATCTTTTTTTAAAATCGTAGTCCAAAGTGTATTTCTCCCCTGGTGTAATCTAGCTTTTGTGCAATGGGGTGGAGGGTCTGCAATGATCTTCAACCAATTTCTAGGTCGAATATCAAAATTTTAAAAAAAATCTCTCCCTAATATTTTTGTTATTATAAAGGGTACTGTATACAGGGAAATTTTCGCCCACGTTTTATTTTCGCCCCTTTCGCCCTACCCTCATTTGGGCCAATTTAAAACGGGGCGAGTTCAAAGAATACAGTAATATTTCGTTAACAACTATGACTGGGCGAATTTACAACGGGGCAAAATTGTTCGCAAGTGTGAAAGGGAGAAAATGAGACGGGGCGAAAATAACCCTGTATACAGTATGTTTTCTCTCAAACTAATCAAACTTAAAGCAGGGTTCTTAGTATGAGATACATGTAGTAATATATTCTCAATGACATAATAAGGCTGAAAACATTATTTATATTATGTTATTTTTTCACTTATCATAAAGTATTCATTAAAGAGATACATTAAATGCTGAAATCATATGTATCATGGTCATGGAAAGTAATTATTGATATTGGTATATTAAAGGACTGTTACAACGCACTTTGAAAAATTACGCACTTTGAACATTTTTTTCAAAGTGCGTTAAGTTTTGGGACCAGGTTAACACACTTTGAAAAATTTTTTCAAAGTGCGTTGAATTTGGGACCAAATCAACGCACTTTGAAAAATTTTTTCAAAGTGCGTTAAAACTGTACATCATAATTTTACACCATGTAAACATGTAACGCACTTTGAAAAAATTTTCATGAAACAAAAGGAATTAGACTTATATTTTAGAAATAGACAACAGTATTATCCCCTTGCAACGTATGATGGGATATAGTGATGCGATTATGTGTGTTATTACTTTATGTGTATGTTAGTTTTTTCTGTGTGGAATTGACGTAATTTGTATCGGGATCTTTTTTGGGAAGGAATGCTCCGCTTTGCGGTGCCCTTATTTTGATGTGTTTTTTTCTAAAAACTGATGGATTGAAGAAAACCAAGAAACGGAAAACGAAGAAAAGACTGGCTGAATTAAGGTCTATCAGCTCAACTCTTTATCATTCCCACCCAGATATATCTATTTCTATAACTTGTAACCTTAAGTGTCAATGATATTTGAAAAAAAGAGCATTCTAAATACAGTATAAGAACTGTACAAGGAAGTCTGTAGTAAATCGAAATTTTGTTCTTTTAAATCTCAAAGTCTATTTATGTTCATTTTCAGGAATATCAGAATATTAATTACTAGCTGTAAATTCCTTATTTTTCGCGAGTGTTTTTTATCGCGAACTGGCTCTCAAACGTCAAATCGCTAGAATTATAATTAGCGAATGAACGGTTTATTAACAGATTTTACATAGATTTAAGCACCGGAAAAATAAAAGCGAGAAATATTTTTTTCGCGAGTGATACTTCTCGCGAAATTACGCAGAAATTAATTCCTCGCTTATATTAAGGAATCTACAGTACCTGTCTGTTTTTCGATGTTAATTTGATACCATATCTGATAATCTCTCTGTTAAACTCCAGGTGTTCAAAAACACAAGTTTTGCCAAAATTATAGAGTTATTTCTCTTTGGTATCCCAAATAAGTAAGGTTTTATGAAAATTCATATAAATATCTATAAATTTTTTTAGAATCATTCCAATATGTTAACATTTGAGAATTGACTAAGAGATAGGCGGAAGAACAATACTATCGTTCGTAGTTCTTTACGACATTGAATGTTGACCTTTTGACCCCAAATTCAAAAGGGGTCTTCCTAAGGCCACAGGGATTCTGTTATGTTAAATTTCATTGCAAATGTTCAAAGGGTTGGCGAGATATCGTGTGGAAACGAAAGCGTTACAGAAAGACGGATGGACGGACAGCTAGACGGACGGACTGACAGACAGACCCAAATTAATATCTCCCACTTTTCAAGCTGGGGACAAAAAGTATCAAATCAGGTTCAAATGATAATTTATCATACCTAAGATTTGTAGGAATATTGACTAAGCCATGCAGAATTTTTTTTTCAAAGTGCGTTAATATGGTCGATATAAACGCACTTTGAAAAAAAAATTATTTTTTCAAAGTGCGTAATTTTTTCAAAGTGCGTTGCCACAAAGGACATTGACTGATCTTTCAGATTTCTAAGTTATATTCAAGCATTATAATTCTGACATCATATAATAATTTTGTATTAATATTGCAGATCATAGGTGATGTGAAGAAAACCAGGAAACTGATGCTGAAAGAAGTACTTAATGACCCTTATGAATGGACTTAAATGTGAAAGACTGTTCCATTGTTTATCTAAGATATATGAATTTATTTAATATTTTGATATCATTGAAAAATTCAGTTACAGTTTTTGTACATCAAATGAATTATTAAACATATAAAATGGTAATGCTTTTTTCTTTTACATGTACCGTAATAAATTTTTTTGATAGATTTTTAAAAGAATATGCATTATTTCACATTGCTTCCTTTGGAAATGTTAGGGAATCTTGAAGTTTCCCAGTAATTTGCACCAGGAATGGGACTCCAGATAATTCCACCAAGTTTCCGCCACACAGAAAGTGCTACACAAGTTCCATATAGTTTCCTGAGTCAAGGAAACTTCAGGAATCATAAGGTTTCACGAGCTTCCATGTAGTTTCCCATAAAAGAAAACCTTAAGATTCCATCAAGTTTCCATTCCACGGAAACCACTATGCTCATATTCCATATGGTTTCCTGAGTCAAGGAAACTTTAGGAATCGTGAGGTTTCCCGAGCTTCCATGTAGTTTCCCGTATAAGGAAACCTAAAGATGCCATCAAGTTTTCATTCCACGGAAACCCCCTACGCTCCGATTCCATATGGTTTCCTGAGTCAAGGAAACTTTAGGAATCATGAGGTTTCCCGAGCTTCCATGTAGTTTCCCGTAAAAGGAAACCTAAAGATTCCACCAAGTTTCCATTCCACGGAAACCCCCTACGCTCCGATTCCATCAAGTTTCCTGATTCTGGAAACCAGTGGAATCTTCAGGTTTCCCATTACGGGAAACTACATGGATGTTCGGGAAACTTCAGGTTTACAGAGGTTTCCGTGGTTCGGGATACCTTATGGAATCGGAGCGTAGGGGGTTTCCGTGTCACGGAAACTTGGCGGAATAACCTTGCATCCGCTACGGAAACCACTGGGAAACATGATGTAAACTTGAGGTTTCCATGTGGTTTCCATAAAGTTTCCCATGATGGGAAACCACTTTTTTCACCCAGTGTCCGTAATTTGAATTCCTGAGACTCAAAAACCATGATTTGTAAAGTCCTTTATTTAAATAATGACCAGAATAGACAGAAAGAAAATCACATCAGCAAAACTTATTTCCGATTGAGATAACTTTGGATGGTATACATGTAGCTAAACCCAGGCAGATATCTGACACACAAATTGATTTTCCAATTAAATAACATTCTAACAATACAATAGAGTAGCGAAAGGTTGATTGCAGGAAATAAAAAAAAAAAAGAAAAATTCGAATTCAAATTGAAAAAAAAAAATTTATTAGAACATGTGCTAAATCCAATCAATCATGTTGCCGTTAATATATGTTTGAATTTTAAATGCCCCTGCGACCTCCTTATCTTTATCTGATGAAAGAAATTTTGAAAAAAGGAAATTATGTTTTATGAGCTTATTGTTTAGGTCTGTATTTTTCTATTTCCAATGCCTGTCAATAAAGACATTCAATTGTTTTAATTCGCTCTTTTCCATTACATAAACATAGTTGAAACAATTGCATCATGAACTAATATACTCGCGGTATACAATTCTGTCAAAATTAAAGCTTACTGTATACAAGCATAGCACACTAATTGTTTATATTTTCCTTGGTTAGGCAAACAGGTAAATCATCCGACAAATTAAAATGAAAAAATTCCAATATTTGATAATTATTTCAATGCAAGCTTATATCTATTTTTTTAAAAATTTCAAACTGACTGAAATATTTTTTTTCGGGGTGTTGGGGGGTGTGTGTGGATATTTTCTCCCTCTTTCTCTCTCTCTTTAACCCTCCCCGTGGCGATCCGGGTTAGAATAGGTCCTCAGTACCTCCTTGCTTGTCGTTAAAAGCGAATAAATGGGGCGCTCCTTCGGATGAGACCGTATAAAGCGAGGCCACGCATCACAGCAGGTGTGGCACGGTAAAGATCCCTCCCTGCTCAAAGACCGTAAGTGCCGAGCATATGCCAAAATGTGCAGCCCTTCACCGGCAATGGTGACGTCTCCATATTAGTGAAATATTCTGGAGAGGGACGTTAAACAGTATACAATCAATCAATCTCTCCAACCTCCTATTTATATATAAACGTATATACTCATATGTCTGATATTTCCTTTCAGCGGTACCACGACTAGCGTCTCCTGTATAAATAAAGTCTTTACAGATTGTACTACAAAACCAAATACCCCAGAATATAGGAGGATTAAAAATCTGGCATCGTATAAGATCAGGACGTTTAAACAACTTGGATGTAGTAAGATACATATTGATTTAACAAGATTCTATTTAAGTCGTTTCCGTCCCTTAATAGTTGATGTATTTTTAAATTTATTATCTACTTTTGTAGAGGAATATGAACCAAAGCCGGCAAAGAAAAGCGGAGGCGGACGAGTCAAGACCAGTCTGTTTGTATCAGCCGTAGCCTTTACATTTGCTTTGATACTGAAAAATTAAGATTACTCTTTTGATATCAACTGTAGCATATATGTTTTTGCCTTGATGCTGTTCAATCAAGATTACTCTTTTGATATCAACTGTAGCAATAAAAACCAGTCAAATAATATTAGTTGTATCCTTCACTTTTTCCTTGATACTGTTGTAAATATAAGTATGTTTGACGCAAAATTTAAATTCGATGTAAATTTTCAATTTTGTTTCGTCAAAATGGAAGAGACGCAGTTTTAGTAGTTTCGGTTAAGAGAGAGTCAAAACGTTGGAGGTGTGAATCCTACTGCAGGAAGAGACCGGCCCCTTTGGATTTGACGTTCAAGAACTGGTTGCAAAGTCGGAGTAGTTGCTTTTACGGGAGTGGGGCGGGGCCACAATAGGGAATGCAAGTTTTATATCAAAATATTTAGGAAATATCTATCAAAATTTTCTTCTGAAGAACCACTTAGCCAGAAAAGCTGAAAATTAGGTGAAAACATCCTAGAAAAATAAGATCCTAAATTGTTCAAATCATGACCACCGGAAGAAGGATGGGGCCACAATAGGAAATCCAAGTTTTTCCTTGAAATATAAGGAAAACATTTTAAAATTTTCTTCTCAAGAACCACTAATAGGAAGCATCCCGGAGAAGTTGAGCCCTCTTCTCCTTTTAGCTTCTCGTTTCTTGCTTTGGGACCTCAAATCCAGCCATTTCTTTTTCACATCGCACGCATTTCAAAATTGAAGGAATTTAATTCATTTATCCTAAAAGCAATTTAAAGTTTTGGTTCACTTTGATATAAAGAACTATCTATCCCTCTCATCTATTATCATGCATCGCCACAAGTTTAAACCCAGACCTGCATACCCTCTTCAATTCAAGTTTGTAATTTTAGTAAAATTTTGGTGGAATTTCAGAGGTGAAAGCGTAATCAATCATGTTTTCCTATTTTGTTGTTTTCTGCAATACCGTATAGTGAGTTTTCTTGGCGGATTTAAAATTTGCCGTTTGGCCTGCTCAAAGGTATGCCAATAATTATGGCGTTATTAATTTTAGCAGACAGTTTTTCAGCTTTTTGCAGATAAACTCTAAGAAGAGTACTGACTATTTTAGCGATTGAAATTTTTGGGGACGCTAAAATTTCAATCGCTAAAATAGTTCAAAACAACCGAAAATGTACTTTACTAATTAAAGAAAGCTGGCATAAACTTTTCTTTTTCGAATCATTTATTGGCAAAAAGTGTTGTAAAATACCAGTATCCTAAAGTATATTAAATTTTAATTCACCGTACACCCTTGATAAAGCGTTTGGTCAATTTGTATCACATCACTAAATTAAAGGCTTGCGTTTGCATGTATACACAAATCGTACATAATAATACTTTAATGATATAATATCTTTTTAACAATCACATTTCTCTATTTTGTTCTAAGCAATGTTAAAATAAACTAAATTGAGGATAGAAATGGCTGTACTTATTGCAATATCAAATAATATTAACTAAGTAAAGTGCCTTCTCATGTTCTTCCGAATCTTCGCCATACCAGTTTACATATGTGACAAGCCATGAGAATTTTGGCCCAAATGAGGTACTTGGGAGAATATGAGATTTTTATATTATCTAGTAGAGATGACCTCCAGTAACAAGTATCTGCTTTTTTTTCTTTGATATCCCTATCCATTGTCAAGAAAATTGGACTTTACCAACTGGTAGTTATGCGCCCGGATCAATAGATCATGGGCGCATACTGTTTTTGTCTTGTCTGTCTGTAAACTTTAATCTTCACCATAACCTATGAACCATGAGAGACAAAAACTTCATATTTGGTATGCATATTCCAGTAACTAAGCTCTTTCAAATGACACCAAGGTCAATGACCTTGTGATTGAACTTGTGACCTTGACTGTGACCTATATGCTAAAAATAGCCTTTTTAAACCTTCGCAATAAATTTTTAACCATAAGAGATAGAGACTTAATATTTAGTATGCATACTCCACTAATTTAAGTTCTTTCAAATGTCAACAAGGTCAACGACCTTGTGACCTTGACTGTGACCTATATGCTAAAAATAGCTTTTTCAAACTTAGGCGCCACCGGGTGCATAGTGTTTCACAAACACATCTTGTTTTTTTTTCAAATTGGTGATTTCTGTGAATTTGAAGTTACATAAAAGTAATAAAGTAACACAATTTAAAATAGATGCTATTTCATTTCGAAACACATATTTTTTTTTATCAAATCACTACAACAGAATATAAGAGTTTTAAGAACTTCATAAAATCAAACTCTTATTATCCATGGCAGCACGAAAATTACATTGATTTGTTACGATGTAAATTTGCACATTTTCTCTTTCCTAATTTCACTTTCTGTTCAACTTTTATGGCTGATGGTTTTGGTACACATGGGCGGGGACATGTCTCATGACTGGCGCAGTATGGTGCTACCTCGTCATATAAATACCATTGTCGCTGTGCATCAAGGCCACATGGTTTAATGACAGATGGAAGAGAAGCATCCATATTTGGAAACTTGAAATCTTTGTGTTTCAGGATGTTCACAGTTATTTCTTCATCTGTAGCATACTCTCGTAGATGAACTACTCCGGGATGTTCGTGTGTCATTCTGCAAAAGATGTTAGATTATACATTATTTTTTTTAAATATATTTATCTAAACAATTTAATGCATTAATTAACCAAATGTATTGAATGAGCACAGTCATACTTCAACTTGCATAAATGATGGCATTTGTTTTTTTTTTAATTTCTCTTCAGTTCTCTGTTTTTAACAAAATAATACAAAAAAAATTTCAGTATTCAATGTTAACAGCATTCTTCATAACCTTACACTAAGCATCTGCATTTGTCAACATGGGCTTAAAATCTGTATTAAGTGTTTGCTCTTTTTCTTTTGTGTACATGTTCATCTAATTTTTTTAATTTAACAACATAGAGATTTTTAATTGAGGGATAAATTATAAAAGCATCAGAAAATAAAAGAATGTATGACAATCAAACACCACAATTCAAAAAAAATAATATAATAAGATGAACATGTATTTGAAGAAATACTTAATAAATTTTGATAACTTTCTGGTCTAAAAATATCTGGTTTTACTAAGTCATGAAATTCTGACCCAAATAAATAAAATGAAAAAAAATAATATAATTTGAACATATCTACACTGTATGCCCCTTTGTGCATTTATTGTTCTGTGATAACCTAACTTTGAATGAATTAATTGCTCCCAAAAAACAGGCAATATAATGCATACCGAAAATGATGATATTGCTTGAGTTGAGGTATTGGCTTGAAGAACTGCTTGAGAAACGTGCTCCAGTCAGAGAAAATAACTGGATACTGGGGATCCTCTACAAGCTGGAGAATATTATGGTTATTCCTAGATGAATGAGCAACATATTTGGCCACTTCCTCGAGATTCTCTGCAGTTGTTCCTCGCCATTTCACCTTCCAGAGCCCAAAGTGCTAGTCGGGATGAAACTTTGTGTGGCCTGCCTCCATCAGAGAAAACTCAATGGTCATACGTCTGCCAGTCATAACTCGCCACATTACATATCTACAAGACATTCTTTCAAAATAATGTTTGGCAGAGACAAAATCTCTAAACAAAATGCTAAATGCACTTCTATTATGATTATGAAGCTAAACTTTAAAAAGACAGCAAATGAATTTACAATAATTTTGCCAGTGTATGTCATTACATGTACTACATGTAAACATGCATGTATTTGACAAGAAGACACCTATTGTATTTGTAAAAATACCACCCTCACAAATGGTAGTTATAATATATATACAGTTGCATTGGAAATACATACCCAATAACAGTGTTGTTTTTATTTTGACCAGTGCAGTTGTCCATATGGAGTTGTAAATTCTTTTCTCCATAACCTTTATGTTGAAAATGGTGGTGAATCATACTGGCAACAGAGTTTGCCCCCTTTCCAGAATGCTGTGACTCATCAATCAAGTAAAATATCTGTGATCCTGGATAGAAATTCACAAAAAAGAGTTAATCATTCTTTTAAAGGGTGCATTTCTAAAAATGTAATTCTAAATTTACAGGTTGCATGTATTTGCCAATTAAATGCACTGCTGAATCTCTTTTATGAATTTAATTTTACATATTATGCTTTAACTGTTTGACCAGTACACTTGTACATAAATCTATATATTTTGTTTCCTATCAATGAACTAAAAGAGTATTTAAATACTAAAAAATCAATGAGACTATTGCAATCTTGTGTTCGACATTCTAAAAATTACCTGAACCCTCTGAACAGATTCCAAAACACTGGCATTTCCGTGGGGTTTTGAAGAACAAAGGACCAACCTGTTGCGCATAATGTGGATAATGTATTTGCTGGGCATAATCAAAACTGTAATGTTGAGTTCCCTCCAAAGAGCAGATGGGCTGACCTGGGGAAAATATCAATAGCCAATTGATTAAGAAAAATCATGAATTTAACAGAACTAGACGCAAAAAAATGATCAACTAATTTCAAACAATATTACTTTAATCATATAATAAATTGTTACCTCTGGTTTTTCACTCATTTAGAAGAGCAGAAAAGCTAGTTTTAGAAACTTCACATTGTCTTCTGTAATAATCCCTCTGCATCTTTGATTTTTCAACATGAACTGTGTATTTCTCAAGATGTTGCTCCTTTTCTTCTTCTGTCATATTGCCACCGTGAATCAGGGTATTTGCATAGGATTGGCATTTATAACACAGGTCTGTTGAAGGTTTACTAATTAGTACATGTGGACATGTATTGAGCCAAACTCTTTTAAACTCTGACAAACATATCTTTCTCAAATGTAGACTATCCGCAGCTAACAAACAGTCCTGATGTATGTCAGCTTTTGTTTTATCAGAGGGTAACACTATAGCTCTACAATCTCTATAGTTTGGCAGTCTTCCTGGTAATGGTAAACCAAACTTGTTTCCATAAGATGTTAGAAAATCTTTTACAGATTGAACATCATTTACAGTGAGGGCATGCTTTGGATGTTTACCAATGTTTCCATGGACTCGAGGAACAAGTCCATCCTTATCAAGGGAACGAGCAAGT